GAATGACTTGTCCAAATAGAGTCTTTATGGGGAATAAATGAAATTTGCATGTAAAACTTATTTAATGAATATTGGACACTATTAGATGGAAAAAATAAGGAACTGGGATGAATCAGAGATAATTGGACTGAGAAAGGTCTCACTGAGATTCAGATCAGTATCATCTTTAAGCTAGCTATCAGTATTAATTCAAGACTATACAGTTTTAAATTTTTTCTTTAAGTTGGAACCAGAGATAAAGAAGGACGTAGTGCTAAAAGGGTCAGTTCATCAAGAGAAGAAAACTATCCTGATGTGAACACACTAAACAGTAGGGTTTCCAGATATATTAAACAAAACTGAAAAGGAAAATAGGCAGCATAGCACTATATCTGCAGACATCCTTGAAAACCACAAATAACAAAAACTCACCCAAAATAACATAGCCTAGAACTATTAGTTTAAGTAGTTGAATTAAATCTTAAATCTTAAAATTAAATCTTTGGAAGGTTAAGAACCTTCCAAAACAGGAATCTGCAAGCCCAGATGGTTTCAAATGCAAATCTACCAAACATTTTAAAGAAGACATATCACAGATTCTATACAATCTATTCCAGAAAATAGAAGTGGAAGGAACACTTGCCAAGTCATATATGAGGCCAGACCCTGATACCAAAATAAAAGGCAGTACAAAAAAGAAAACTACCGACCAATATCTCTCATGAATATAAATACAATAATCCTCAAGAAAATACTAGCAAATACAGCCCAGCGCTATATTACAAAGAATAATATACCAGGCCCTCCCTGGTGGCACAGCAGGTTAGTACACAGCACTGCAAGTCAGCCACAGCCACTTTAGTGCGAGTTTGATCCCCAGCCCCGGAGGTGACCACATGGTGTGGCAGACCTCTCCTGACCCACCCACTGCTCCCCTCAGCAGTGTACTTCGTCGATCTGCCTGTCCTGCTCCCCACTCTGTCTCTGGTGAAGCCTCTCACCACCCCTGCATCTCTGGCTTGTACCCCAGTTCTATATGCATAAATAAGTAAATCTTAAAAAAAAAAAAAAAGAAGAATATACCATGACCAGATGGGCTTTATCCCAGGGGTGCCAGTATGACTATTGAAATTAATCAATACAAACTACCATATTAAACGAATAAGGAAGAAAAATACACAACCATATCAATTGATGTCGGAAGGTCACATGACTTCACCTTCAATTATGATAAAACCCTTCAGAAACTTCCTCAACTCAATAAAGAGTAACTACAAAACCTCTGTAGATAACATCATACTTTATGGTGAAAGACCGAAAGTTGTCTCCTTAAGATTAGGAGAAAAGCAGAGAAATCTCTCATCATTTGTATCAACAAGTACAGTAAGACAATAAGAAAACAAGAGAGAAAGGCATATATATTGAAAAATAAGAGATAAAACTACCTTTATTCACAAATGGCATGACTTTCTTTATAGCGAATTCCAAGGAATGTACTCTAAAGGCTCCAAGAACTAACAAATGAGGGTAGCAAAGTCACAGGAAACAAGATCACACCTAAAAATCAACTACAGAGAAAAATTGAAAGTAGAAATTTGGAAAACTTTGCCACTTAAATGCCTTTAAAATGAACTGGTTATCAATAGGTTTAACAAAGTCTGTACAGCATTTGTAGGCTGAAAACCGTAGAATGCTAATGAACAAAATTATATACCTAAATACTTGGAGACACACTGTGTACATAGGTTGGAAGACTCTTGATTGGAAGATAACAATTCTTCTCTAACCTATAAATGTAATGCCCTTAAAATACAAATCCCAGAAGAGTATAGAAGATAACAGTTTTATGTAAATATTGAATTTCCCAAATTCAATAATAAGACTGTGGGTGCAAAAAGGGAAAGAGAATGTCTTTATTTTAGAAAACACACACTTAGGCTTTCAGGGAAAAGGGGTTGTGCTCTTTGCAATGTTCTTTCAAAGCTCATATTTAGAGGTAAATCAAGTGTAAAATGTTAATGACAGTTACAGATTTGGGTATAGGATATATGGGATTTTGTTAAAAAATTCTTGCAAATATTCTTGTAGCTTAAAGCAGTTTCAAAACTAGATGTTTAAGTGATAAAATCCCTACCAGGAGTTTCTGTAGACAGACAATATGTTTCTAAAATTTATACAGAAGAGCAAAGGAACAACAATAACTAAAAACAACTTGGTAAAAAAAAATAAGATTAGAGGAATCACACTACCTGATTTTAAGTCTTAGTGTGAAATGACAGCCATCAAGATAATGAGGTATTGACAAAGTAATCTACACATTGATCACTGGAACAGAACATAAAGTTCGGGAACAGACCCACATAGAGATGACCTAATGATTTGTTACCAAGATGCCAAAGCAATGTAGAACAGCCTTTTCAATAAATGATGTTGGAACAATTGGATAGACATATGTAGCAAATTAACCTTGACCAATAACTCATGTCCTATTAAAAATGACCACATAATGGATCACAGCTCTGAAGCACAAAACTGTAAAACTTTCAGTGAAAAAGATAGGAGAAAATGTTCATGACCTGAAGTTAAAGAGTTCTTGGATTTGCCATCAAAAGCACAATCTACAAAAGAAAAAATTGATAGACTGAATTTCATCAAAATCAAGCTTTTGCGCTAAGAAATGCTCAGTTAAGAGAATAAAAGGATAAAATGTTTGTCTATCCCATCTCTGATAAAAGATTTGTATCCAGAGAGTATAAAGAACAATTGAAATTCAACAGTAAGAAATAACCCAGCTGAAAAACAGGCCACGTATCTGAACAAACACCTCACCAAAGAAAATACGCAGGCAATAAATACATGAGAACTGTTAACATCATTTGATATCAGGAAAATGAAGATTATGGTGAGATTCCTCATTTGGCAGTGGTTTGACCATCTCCAGTACAAACTAAACAAGGAGACTACCATATGTGAACTTCCTTTTCATAATACATTCCTCATTCCTAACTTGAGTATGGACAAGATGTTAGTGCCACCTTCTGGTGTCAGGGCCATGTTACCTAAGGGAGAGACACACACACATACACACAAGGAATGATCTTTATCATTCCTTCCTCAAATATCTTTGCTCTCTTCATAAGACTCCTTTTCCTCTTATGAGCTTTAGCTGTTGCACCATTAGCCTATGTTTCTGCTATCGCTTTAAATTCCACTTTTGTCACTATCAGTGACACCAAGGACAGTCAAACAGACTGATTCTGACAGGCATTCCCTCAAAGAATATTACCTTCTCCTGAGGTGCTGAGCCTGCAGTTCAAATAGAGTCCACAAGGGGGTAGGTGTTGCTCAAAGCATTGGCACTTAGACTACCTTTAAGGATTTACGGAACACAATTAATCCACCTATTCTTTTAAAATACTATTGCATTTAAAGAACATAATGCTGACTATACACTAATCACTTAATTTTTACCTATTATTGAAAAGAGAAAAAGATCTTTACCTTTCAGTAAGTCTACAGATACTTGTTAAACACCTACTATAGTCCCAGGCACTGTTCTCCATACTGGTGAAACAAACTAAATTTATTTGAATATATAAAAGAACTGATCTACTTAGAATACCTTTAATTAGTAATGGTACTTACTCAGCTTCACTGAGTTTTCTTCGGAAGCTTACCCAATGTGAGTGTGAGATAGCAAGTTTTTCTTTCAATTTTTAAAAATATATTCATTACATCATCCTTCATTCTTGTACAAAGTATTTCCATGTGAAATTCCCACCACCAGTTCACCTGTGCAACATCATCAGAGGTAGCAGGATTTTCAATTGTGGCAAGTTTCCACAAAATTCCTCCCACCACTAGCTCTTATTTAGTTAGCATCCTTACAACAACCATCTCAGCTAGCTCTTATAAACAAAATGACCTTTTAAAGAAATGTTCACTTCATCTTTTTTCCTGTTATTTTCACCTATGTCTAAAATGCAAGAGACAAACTAGCAGGTAAGCAACTTTTAAATTTCTTCCCCTTTTCTTAAACTTTTATCTACTGCCATGTAGTATAGAGAAGTTTAAAAAGGCATTATCCTAGCTGGGTCTTTTTTTTTTTTATGAATACAGAACTGGGGTACAGACCAGAGGTACATGGGCAGTGAGAGGATTCATCAGAGACAGAGTGGGGAGCAGAACAGGCCGACTGACGAAGTACACTGCTGAGGGGAGCAGCAGGCGGGTCTGGAGAGGTCGGCTATGCCGACCTCCTGGGCAGGGATCGAACTCATGCTGAGGTGGCTTTAGCTTCTTAGTGCTGTGCTTTAACCTGCTGCACCACCAGGGAGGGTCCAGCTGTGTCTTCTTTAATTCACATTATGTATAGTGAGTCCTGCCTTCTCATGAAAGTAGATTTTTTTCAGTAAAATTAATTCCCAACACACACACACAAATTAATTCCCACTCCACAAGGTGTAGCATATTTGTATCTCAGAGCCCCCGTAGTCATTGGCTAGCAGAGATCTTCTCCCCTAGCTCTTCTGAAGCTTTTGGGACATTTTGAATAGGACAAAATGGAACACAGGAATGCAGTTTCTAATGTGTTCTCTCAGCACCTAATGGCCTGTTCACGCTGCAGGCAGCTCCCCTCTGTTGGTATGCGCTGACTTAACACTTTCACAAAGAAAAGTGAGTCAGTCTTTCAGAAAAGACTTCCTTCTTTCCCCCATTTCTTCCAGAGTGGAGACACCAGCCTCCCACAAGGTGCTGCTCTTTCCCCTTGCCTAGGAGAGCTTCCCTTGGACTGCCGCTGAGGGCCTGCTCTGAGATGTCACAGCCCTGCTGTTTCCTTGGGGAATGTCTCAGCCATCAGGGGAGCCAGAGCACAACATAGTTAGGCAAGGATGGGAGAAAAGGGAGACAAAGGTCTCAAACCAGCCTTGGTCTTCAGTATGGAGCAGAGCTTGAGGGTATGAGGGGTGTACTAAAGTTTGAAGGGCACTGAATTGCATGAACACTTTGTGTCCCCTCAGGCGCTATTCCTATTTTGTATTTTCCTTGGGTTCTGGCATGCACTAAGTTCTGGATGGTGCCCGTGCTCACCTTCACCTGGCTCACCTATGATTGGGACACCCACAGTCTAGGTAAGATCCAGAGTGTCAGCCCCTGTTTATACCAAAGGTGAAACCACAGGAGAGGAGGGTGGAAGGAGAGAGTGGGAGATGCATTGGGAAAAAAGGGTGAGGGAGGAAAGAGAAAATAAGGAACAAGGGAGGAGGGGAAGGGAGACAGAAGCAAAGGGGGGTAGGGAGACGAGAACTGAAAGGAGAGAGGGAGCACAGTTCAACGAGGAGCAACCTCTGCCAGCCTACCCCCCAAAATTTAGGAGGCATGGGAACAACCCAAATGCCCAAAAGTGGATGACTGGATTAAAAAGATGTGGTACATAGACACAATGGAATATTACTCAGCAACCAAAAAAAAAAATAATAAACACATGCCTTTTGCAGAAACATGGATGGAGTTGGAGAAGATCATGCTTAGTGAAATAAGCCAGAAAGAAAAGGAAAATTTAAGAGGTTGAGGGTTCTGGGCAGGTGCCTACAGTCGTGGGCTGTTTTCCTGTCACCTTTCTAGCTGGCTCCAGAGGAGCAGGTGCTTTGGAGTCTAGGAGAGTACCCATAGATCTGTGCTCTAGAAATGTGGAAATGTAAGAAGGAGCCTCCTTCTGTGACCAGAAGCTTGTAGGAACAACATTCCACCACTGGGAAGGAGACTGACCACATTCCACCTGTATTTTTCTTGCCTTCTGTTCTGACAGGTGGTAGGCGTTTGCCATGGGTACGTAACTGGACCCTCTGGAAATATTTTCAGGATTACTTCCCAGTAAAGGTAACCACCCTTTGTCTAGATGCCCTTGGTCCTCTCCCTCCCCTTGCCCTTGCCCTCTCCCTCCCCACTCTGGTCAAGGCCCAGAGGCATAAAGCAGACTAGGTCCCCACGGTGTATGGGCAGGTGGGTAGGTGGGTGGAAGGCAGCATTTCCTAAGAATGGCAAACCCAGTTCTGCCTCTGAGCATCAGAACCTTTGGCAATCTTATGGCAATAATGACATCTCAATGAACAGGGATTTGGGGGGTCCCAAAGGGAAACACGGCCTACCTGATGGCTGGAATTTGAGTCCACACATCCTCTCTTCCTTATTTTCTACTGCTTTGACTTCAATCTCCCTCTCACAGCTGGTGAAGACTCATGACCTCTCTCCCAGACACAACTATGTCATTGTCAACCACCCCCATGGCATTGTTTCTTACGGTGTGTTCGTTAACTTTGCCACTGAGGCCTCTGGCTTTTCTCGGATTTTCCCAGACATCACTCCCTCTCTAGGGACCTTGGAAGGGATCTTCTGGATCCCATTTGTGCGAGAATATGTGATGTCAATGGGTGAGTACATAATGTAATTTCATTCTCTGACCTACATCAGGGCTCCAATCAGATAATCAGTCTACCACTCCATGTTCAAAGAAGGCTTAGCAGAAAATGAGATTAGGAATCACTGGACCAGTAAATAAGAGCACTTAGCCAAACATGAGTTTTGTGCAAGATCCACAATACAGGGTTTGTTAAGACAACAGAGTAAATTCTAAGTATTCACAAGAGTTGCAGGAATCCTTTCAGAAGAGGAACCAGAAGGCCAGAGTTCAGAGTCAAAACCAAAGTAGAAAAAGAGAAGGCAAAATCCAAATGTCAAACCCAAATGTACAAAAATCAGGCAACTCAAATTAATTTTGCCAGATTATTTCCAGGATATTAGAAAGCTTCTTTGAACCTGTTGTTTATAGAGAAGCTCTCATCTCAGACCATCTAAAAGACAGGTGGTATCTTGCTGGCTCATGACCATAATGTCCCTCCTTGGAACTCCTTAATTTTTCAAAAGACCTCAAGGCATAGAGTAGTTATCCATCAAAACCCAAGACAATTTTCCCATGCCAGACTGCAAGCCAGGGTACTGTAATGAATGCCCTTCTCCCTGGGTTGAATATTTATCCTCCCAGACAACAGAAAAATGAAGCCAAACAGTAAATGGTAAGATAGCATTACATGGAGGCACCAGGTGGATCACTAGTGTCCCAGAGGATGCTCTCTGGGTTTGTCATGCATCTGGAACAGTGGTCTCACCCAATGGCTGAGGGTTGGTGGAAATTTCTGCCATCCAGGAGAGAACAGAAGGTAAGCAAAAGGCAAATATGGGAAGAAGTTAGGAAACACTATAGTTGAGCACAAGGGTATCATCCTCATTCCAGAGTTCATATACAATTCAGTTTGGTTTGGACAGACTCCTGGATCTGCCTACTCTACAGAAACCCCAAGCAGTGGCTCACTTATGGCAGGTTAGGGAGAGAGTAGGTTGCTAATGGCTAATCCTGATCAACCATGGGGGAAGGAACTCGGAAGAGTGGCCAATGCTGTCAGTCTGGGGCAATTGGATGATTACTGTGGTTCATAGGATGTGCTTTAGTGGGAACATATGTGCTTAAAGACAACTAAGATAAGAGGAAGTAGTCAGAGGAACTCAATGTAATCCCAACTGTAGTATCACAGAACTTTAAGGCAAGCAGCTCACCCTAAGGGCCAACCTCAGGCTATGGTTAACCCAGGATATAAAGGCCAAGGTCAGAAGAATAGAAGTAACAACTAGTCAGGAAACAGAAAAACCATCTCCAGCAAGAAGAGCCTGGAAGAACCTCTTACCCCATGTTCAGGAGCCGAGTTTGTTTTGCTACTTGACTCTTGGTTTCACAGGTATATGCCCAGTGAGTGAGGTGGCCTTGAAGTATTTGCTGACTCAGAATAACTCAGGCAATGCTGTGATTGTTGTGGCGGGTGGAGCTGCTGAAGCCCTCTTGTGCCGACCAGGAGCCTCTACCATCATCCTTAAACAGCGTAAAGGTTTTGTGAAGCTGGCACTGAAGACAGGGTGGGTCCCTAAGTTTTGGTTTTTTATTGTCAAGGATGCCATAGGTCTTCTTTGGCACTTCTCCAGAATGGTGACTTCCTTTGGAAAGTTAGATGGGACTCCTTCCTGATCAACCACGGGGGAAGGAACTCTGAAGAGTCACCAGAGGGGAAAGTTAGAGGAGACTCCCTCTTCATTCTCTTTCTCTCTACTCCCTCACATTGTGCCTTTAGTGTATGTGGGCCTCCAGACACATTTCAGTGGGAACTTTTCTTACTTGAATTTGCAGAAATGACAAGAGAAGTTTTTTAACCTCTGTCCTTTAGCTTGATAGCTTAGGGGCTTGGGAAAATGGAGCTTCATTCTGTATCAACCCATTAAATGAGAGACCCAGAGAACCTACCAGGGGCAAAAAAGACACTAGACTTAATGCTGTGGGGATTTCAAAGCTAAATAAGACATGATTTTTGCTTTCCTCTCCCAAAGGAGTACATAATCTACTTTGAGAACTAGAAAGCATTCATTCAACAGCTTTTGAACACCTATTGTATTAGTAGTAGACATTGAAAATATTAAAAAAAATAAAAAAGATGTGCTCATTGACTTTAAGAAACTCAAAGTCCAATGAGGGAAGATAGACATGCACATACGATTGCAAGATATATTCAGAAGCCAACCACTTACCATCCTGACTATCATCACTTGATTTAAACCAATTGGTTAACAAAAAGAAGTAAAGAAAACAATGCCTTTTATGCTCATATAAAAAATTAAATACCTACAAATAAATAGAACCAAGGAAATAAAGGTCTGTACACTGAAAACCATGGCACTTTTGAAAGAAATTGAAGAAAATACCAAAAATAATGGAAAGACATTATTGCTCATGGATCAGAAAAATCAAATATTGGCAAAATGGCCATTCTATGTAAAACAATATACAGATTCGATTCAATCCCTTTTAAGATCCCAAAGGCATTCTTTAAAGAAATAGAAAAAAATCCAAAAATTTACATGGGAACACAAAAGACTTCAAATAGCTGAAACAACCCTGAAAAAAAAAAAAGTGGAGGCATCATGCTCCTTAACTCTAAATTATACTTCAAAGCAACAGTAATCCAAAAAGTATGGTATTGGAATAACACAGGTACACAGATCAATAGAACAGAATCGAGAGTCCACAAATAAAAACCATACATATATGGACAACTGACTTATGAAAAAGGATCCAAACTGATACAATAGAGAAAAATATTTCCCTTTAATAAATGGTGTTGGGAAAAATTGGACAACCGCCTGCAAAAGAAACAAACTAGACTGCTAGATTATAGCTTATACAAAATTAATTCAAAGTAAGTTGAATACTTGAATATAAGAACTGAAACTGTATCAAGAAAAATATAAATTATCAGCCCTTTGATATCATGCTTAAGGTTGTCTTTATGGATTCATCTCCAACATCAAGATGAACAGAAGAGAAAATAAACAAATGGGACTACATCAAGAACTAAAAAATGTCTTTGTTTACAGTAAAATAAACCATAATTAAGATAACAAAAAGACCTACCAAGTGGGAGAATACATCTGCAAATCATATATCAAACAAAGGGTTTATACCAAAATACAAATAATTCATATAACTCAACAACAACAAAACATATAACCTGATTTAAAAATAGGAAGAGGATCTGAGTAGGTATTTCCACAAAGAAGACTACAACTGACCAGCAAACACATAAAAAGATGTTATACATCACTTAATGTTAGGGAAGTACAAACGAAAACATTAATGAGATTTCACCTCATACCAGTTAAAATAACTTTTATAAAAAACTTCTGAAGTGATAAGCATTGGTGAGAATGTGCAAGAAAAGGGAACTTTGAGCACTCTTGGTAGGAATGTAAATTGGTGCAGCCACTATGGAAAACCGTATGAAGGTTCCTCAAAAAATTAAAACTAAAGCTGCCATATAATCCACTAATCCCACTTCTAGGTATTTATTCAAAGGCTATAAGCACACTAATTTGAAAAGATACATGTGCCCCTGTGTTTACACTATTTACAATATTTACAATAGCTGGGATATGGAAACAACCTAAGTGCCTGATGAAGAGTGATTGTAAAGAAGATAAGTTATATATACATAATGGGATACTAGTTGGCCAAAAAAGATGAAATCTTGCCATTTGCAACAACATGGGTGGACCTTGAGGGAACTATACTAAAAGAAATAAGTTGTAAGGAGAATGACAAATAGTAAGCCCAGTGTCTCATTCCTGCCATGCCCCACTTCCCCAACTCACCCTTCAGGGAAAGCTGTTGTGCCTCGTTCTGTGATGGAAAAACAGTAATCTTAGGTGATCTGTTTTCATGGTTCACAGCATCCAGGGTGCTGGGAGGAACTGGAAATTATCAAAGTTTCTTCAAGGGGATGAAATTAGAGTCCAGTGTTGGAGGGCAAAATAGAATTAGTCTCATGAAGATAGAAAGAAGGCAGTTGTGGGGGAGGAAACAGAATGTGCAAAGATGCATAGACAAGAGAGAACTGGGCAAACTTATTATGGCTAAGAAGATTGCAAGGAACAGGAGAGGAGAGAGCACAATGGCCGCACTATGCCGTGTGGTACAAACTGAGAAGCTCTGGTTTTCTTTAACTGAAACAATACTGCATTATAACATTAAGTTTCAGGTACTCAGGAGTGATGTGTGTCATGTGTAGTTTAGGGACATCGCTGTGGAAGTTGAGCACATGAAAGAAGATCACCTGAGACTAGTCTCTTTCCATTGCAGAACAAAGCACAACAGCTTCCCTCAAAGGGTCAGCTGGGGAGATGGGGAATGGCAGGAATGAGACATGAAGCTAAAGACATTTGGGTGCTTATGTTCTTGTCGTGTATGTGGCAATAAGATAGGTTTCCCTCTATGAAGAAGGTTTCGCTGTAGGAGCTTCCAGAGACAACTTACATTTTTGCCCCTTTCTTTGCAGAGCATATCTTGTCCCTTCCTATTCCTTTGGAGAGAATGAGGTTCACAATCAAGAGACCTTCCCTGAGGGCACGTGGAAAAGATTCTTCCAAAAACACTTCCAGGCTACAATGAAAAAAATCCTGGGACTAAATTTCTGTACCTTCCATGGACGGGGCCTCACTCGGGAATCCTGGGGCTTCCTGCCTTTCAACAGGCCCATTACCACTGTTGGTGAGCTTTCTAATATCTCTGGATCACCCTGGTCCCTTATCTCCTGATCCCAGTTCATCAAGTCTCGGCATGGGCTGTGCAAATTCCAGTGGCTATGGTTGATGGCAGGGAGGGGAGGGCGACTAAGTAAGAGTTGTAGCCATTTCTACATGGGACAGAGACCAACAGCTGCTATGAGAGCATCACTGTTCACACACATCCCTTCAACACTCCCCTGAGCTTGCTCTAATTTTCACTTTCATGTGTGAGGTTAGATGTTTGGAGAATATGGCACCCATATGGGGCTGAAGCAAAGGAAAAGAACAAGGGAAGGGAAAGGGACCCACAGAATGTTTCAGTACATGGCTCCCTCTCTGATATGGTAGTTTGAGTTCTTTGCTGGGGGTGGGGTTCTAATGTCTGTCTCCTTTCCTTCCTCATAGTTGGGGAGCCCCTGCCAATCCCCAGGATTGAAAAACCAGACAAGAAGACAGTGGACAAGTATCATGCGCTCTACACCAGTGCCTTGCTAAAGCTATTTGATGAGCACAAAGTTCAGTATGGTCTCCCTGAGACCCAGGAACTGACAATCATATAAGAGAAGCTGTATTTCCCCCTATAACTAAACCCCAAAAAGGATCCATGATCCTTTCCAGAAAAAGAAGAATTTGGGGAGAGAGTAGGATCCCAGGGGTGAGAGGAGAAGCAGGCAAAGACAGAAAGTAATCAAAATTTAGGGAAGGAACCAGAAGGATAGGGGAAGACCAGGCAATGACCCAATTTGACAGTCTTGTAAGTCCACAAATTGTCTTTGCCCCTTGCCTCCGGCCAACCCTGTGATCAGAAGAATGAGAATGAAAAAACATGGTGCTACTTCCTCCTGCCTTAGAGGCACTGCTACATAGGTTGAAGCTTGGAAGTCTTGGTGAGAACTAGTTTCTTTCTCTTTAGGTCCTTTCCATACATTTTAGGCGAACTCCACAAAGTAAATCAGGGACCTACACAGGTTTCCTTATTCAAATGAACAGGATTCCTTCATTTGGCACAGAGTTCTAGACTGGCAAACAAAATATAATAACCACGGAGTTCTAGACTGGCAAAAAAAATGCAGCAGTTATGCTATTTTTCTTATAAAAATAAAGCTCTGGATTTATAAAATAAATATGATTATTTCCTGATTACACTGTGGTTCACTACTGAACTTTCCTCAAAGCAGACCAGAAGACTTCTCTGTGGAGAGTCATTTTCCTCTTCACACATACTTTATCCTGCTCTCACAGAAAAGGTGAAGTGCTAGAAGCAAACTCCTGCATGGTGTGGGAGACATGAGCAGAACTATGGAGTTGGCACAGGCACCCACTAACTAGTCCACCTCTCCTGACCTCACATAACCACCCTGGGTCAGAAGGGTGACTCATAAGAAGTTACAAAAGTAGAGTTCGTTGAACCCTTTCCCCAGCTTCCCACACACACCAAAAAATGACATTTTATTTAACTATACTACAATATCAAAACAAGAAATTGACACTGGCATAATCCTGTTCATTAGACTACAGGCCTTACTCAATTTCATACAAAGTAATTTGCTTATGAGTACTTATGTGTGTATGCACGTCTGTCTACGTGACTTAATCCCGTATATAGAGTTGCATGACCTCCTTGGCCATTGTGATACAAAGAACTCTTCACCACCATAGAAAAGCTTCTCACACTACCTTTATAGTCACACCCCTTCACCCTCAAGATCTTTGTCCTCTGGCGATCACTGATCTCTGCTTCATTGCTATGGCTCTGCCATTTCAAAGATGATGTATAAGGAATCAGACAGTAGGTAATATGTTTGAGATTGACTTCTTTCTAAGTCTAAGCATAATGACTTTAAGATGCATCCAAGTTGTCATGTAACAATAGTTTTTTTAATTATTACTGAGAATATTCCATGGCCTAGATTATTAGAGTCTAACATTTTATCTATTGAAGGACATCCCATGTTTTTTGGCTATTACAAGCAAAATTGCTCTAAACATTTATGCATACATTTTTGTGTGAACATATTTTGGGGGAAAATGCCTGCCAGTGCAATTGCCCAGCTATATGCTATTGCATTTCTAGTCTTATAAGAAGATATCACACTATTTTCTACAATGGCTGTACAACTTTATTTTTTAAGACTTATTTATTTTTACATACACGAACTAGGGTGTCGGTTAGAGGTGCAGGAGGTGAGAGGATTCACCAGAGACAGCGCGGGGAGCAGAAAAGGCAGATCTACCGAAGTGTACTGCTGAGGGGAGCAGCAGGTAAGACAGGAGAGGTCTGATGCAACATGAGGGTCACTTCCCTGGCTGGGGATAGAACTCGTGCTGCAGTAGCTGCTGATCTCTTCATAGAGCTGACACAACCCCTTGTACCACCAGTCCCATCTGCAATATCTGAGAGGTTCAGTTTCTCTTATTTTAGTCATTATGATATATGTTTAGTGATGTCTTGTGTTTCAGTTTTCATTTTGTTTAGAATCAGTTGCAGCCTGTCAGTAGCAAAAGAACAGGTTACAAATGCCTGGGGACCCTCACCTGGGCCCCTAATTCTGGTGAGCCCTCACAGGCATTTCCCTGGCTGGAACCAAAGTTGTGGGCTGGACTAGCCCCAATGGTTCTTATCATGATTACAAGAGGCACCACAGCAAGGACCATCAGGAAATGGAAAACAAGGTCACAGGTCCTGGATGACACACAGGACACTCAGAGCCACACAGTGAGGTGAGAAGAAATGAGAGCACAAAGAGCTGTGGTTCGTCCTTTAATGGGACCGAGGGTGGGCTACCTATGGTTTTTTGGAATCAGTCTTTACTGGTGAATTTAAAACACAAGAATGAAACCGAAACATGGGAAGGGTCACTCAGTGGGCTAATTCCAGATAGATATCTTTGAAATGGATGCTTCAGGAATCAAAAATTAAATCTCAGGCACATAAATTATAATCAAACAAGCTCATCCTCAGGCCCTTACATTATAATTTTCCTAATAGCTACTGATATTGAACATCTTTTCATGTGCTTATTTGCTGTCAAATACATCCTCTTTAATAAAATGCCTCATATGTCTTTTGTCCCCCTTTTAAATGGATTGATTCCTGTATTACTGCTGAGAGCTCTTTATATAGTCTGGATACTAGTTCTTTGTTGGTCCTGTAGTTTTTAGATACTTTCTCCCAGTCTGTTTTTTGTCTTTTCAACATCTTTTGCAGGGAAAATGTTCTAGTTTTGGTGAGTGAAATTTATCAAATGTTTCTTTTGTGAATTACCAGTTTACTATTGGAGCTGTAGTAAATTATCACAAATGGTGGCTTAAAACAATGAATTCATTATTCTACACTTCTGGAATTAAGAAGCCTGCGAGGCATTTCCCTGGACTAAATAATCACAGTGTTGGCAAGGTTGTGTTCCTTCTGGATGCCCCAAGGGAGAATCCATTCTTTTCTTTTTCCTGTTTTAGAGCCTGTCTATGCCCCCTTGGTTCATGGCTTTCTTCCAGTAAATGCACCACTCTGCTTTTGATATCACATCTCTTTCTCTGACTTACCTTCCTGCCTCATTTTGTAAGGACCTTGTGGTTTTCACTGGGCCCACAATATGATCCAGGATAATCTCTAGATTTTTTTTTTAATCTCTTGATCCTTTAACTTCATAATACATGTAAAGTTTCTTTAACCATGGATATTTGAAAGAGGGCATAATTTCAGTCTATTATATAGATCTTGCCTTTGATGCCATGTCTAAGAAACATTCACCAGCCCTCTGGCTCCCAAGACAACTATCTCCCATGTATTTTTCTTTCTTTTTTTTTTTTCTGGGAAAGAAAATCCTCTTTATTCAATCTCAAACCCACAAGAAGTCAATTACTAGAGATGCCAAATACACTGGTGTGGATGGCTGTGGTCACTCAAATCAAAGAACTTTAACATAGCCTCTTCCCAATACTATATCCACAAAACTAATGACATTTTAAAAAAGCCCACTAGTGTTTTGCCACACACATAAATGCAGAGAAAGCTGAACTCATTTTCTGATGAATGACTTCTGTATTGCAGCTGTTGGGATCTCATATAGTAAGTCTAGATGAAACATTACCTCGTGGACCCAAAGCAAACTTTTCCTAGCTTTATATTTCATATTTAAGCTAATTTTGCATTAATTTCTACATAAAGTGTGAAGTATTAATTTTTATTATGTATAAAGTACTACCCATTGCAAGCCACCAAGAGGACTTATCTCCTTCAAGTGTTTTCACTAATAGTACTTGATATGAAACATAGAAAACACACATGCTATGGAATATAATTATAAGACAAAGATGTAGACCTCTTAAATAAAATAAGAATAAATTGCTTTTACAAAACACTTCCCACCAAGAATAGCTTATCCCACTAATGCAAATATGGTTAAATATTAGAAAATCAATTCCTGATACAACAACAAATCAATAAATAAAAACTACAGAATCATTTAATATATGATTTAAAAGCATAAAATTAAATGTATATTATGATGAAAAAAACTTTAAACTGGGAACAGAAGATACTTATATGATATCATAAATGGTAGCTAGCTCAGTCAATAACCAGCATCATCCCCAGTGATGAAACTCTATGGACAGTTCCATTAAAATCAGGAACAAGCCAAGAATGTCCTTTATAATCACAGTTATTTACTACTATTCCAAATTCCTATACATAATCAGGTAGGTGAGAAACAGTATAAAGTGTGTTATCCTGAGAGTACAAGGTATGTGCCACATGTCACTGGCACTAGAAAGTAATAGGTTAATCATGAAAAATGATATTCCGACTTTTTTATTCCATTAACATGTAAATGAGCCAAGCAATAATTCTGACACATTGTCTCTCTTAAAAATACATAACATACCTCAATTAAACAAAATAATCATAAAGGTATAAAAGAGCATATAGCAATAGGCAGAGTGAGATCTCAAAGGAAAGCATTTCATTCTGAACATAGTTCTGATTTAGCAATTACAGAACTTGATGTTTACTGTAACATCAGAATTGGATTTGAAGAGAGTGTCTTCAGGTCTCAGTACAGAAACATTGAAGGAATTTCCAGCAAAGCTATGAAGTCATTGAAGGTGAAGGCTATAATTTCCAAAGATGTATTAACAAATCTGGACTTAATTGTGATCACAAATCTACAATGGCAAGAAACCGAAATCAAGGCCTGGCTATAAAACAGAATTGTTAGATTGAATTGCTTGATTCTCAAAGGAACTCAGTTATAAAGATTTGATTGAAGTAGGAAAGCAATGTTCATTGCCATAGAAGTTATCCTGCTTCAAATAGTTACCATGAGTCACTATGTATCTCATAGAACAGCAAAACTTTCCAGAGACATAATCCTGATTTTAGTGCACTTGAAAGGTCCTGAGAGTAGTAAGAATGCTTTGTTTGCTCCAGAAATATTTAGCAGAAAACTATGACATCTTCATTTCAAACTCAAGAACATGTATTTTACACTTTTTAAAACATTGAGATACAATTCACATACCTTATAATTTGCCCCATTAAAGTACATAATTCAATAGCTTTTCATATATTCACAATGGGTAAATGGGTATCTTAGGCTAAGCCGTGGAGTGAAACACCCATCTCCCAAAAAAGAAGCACTTATGATGAAGCATTTCTATTTTGTGTTTTGTTTTACATAGTCAGTAGGGGTTTTTTTTTTCTTTTTTTTTAAGCACTGGATTCTCTTTTCTTTCCATGCATTTTCATTATCAATTTTGGTATTTATCACAGTAAGAAATGAGTTTTCAAGAATGAATTACCATGTGTAATATTGTAACACTAAGATGTATTTACATTATAACAGCTGAATGTCTGAACTTGGTCCATAAACAAATAGGTTATGAGTTATTTGAAAAAAAAAGTGTTTAATTTTAAAACTCAAGAGAATAAACTGAGAAATTGTTAAAATTCATAAGAGATCAGTCAAGTGGCTAAATACAATATATGCCAAAATTAATTTTTTCTTCTATACCAACAATAACCAATTAGAAAGCATAGT